CCCGCCCCGCCCCGGACGAGGGTTTTCTCCTCCGTTCCGTTTGACCGCTGCGGTGCGGAGGCTGTGAGCGCCTTGGTGCATTCCTCCGGCAAGCTCGTGCTCGCCCCCAGCACGCCATTCTCGCGCCACTGTTCGAGCTCGTGTTACAATGCGATACCCGCAAACAACCAGATAGATGTGTGGATGGAGAGATACTCACAGCTCAAGGTCGACCTTGCCCTTCTTGTCGAAGGAGGAGATGGCGTTCTTGACGGTCTGGTCGTCGTAGGCATCTGCAAGATAAATTGGAGGATTGTTAAAAGTCTGAACAACACTTACACGTCAAACAAGAGGCTCGAGGGAACAACCACGGCTGTCGCACTCACCGCCGGACATGTGGGCGGCGAACATGCCGAGGAGGTTGACAAGGTTGATGGGGCCGTCAGCCTCAGAGAGCATCTCGTTGAGCTCCTTGTCGGTGGTGGGCCTGCCAACCCAGTCGAAGGTTGCGCGGAGGTCGTCCTTGCCGAGCACGCCGTCCTTGTCGTAGTCCATCATCTGGAAGCCCTGCTTGAAGGCAGCCAGCTCGGACTCGGGGAAGGCGGAGAAGACATTGGACGCGGAGCGCTTCGCCTTCTTCTTGGTGGAGCCGGACTTCTTGGACATCTTGGATTAGTTTCTGCAAGAAGAAGAGAGATCGGTTAACGAGGCCGCGATAAGTGTCGCGAAGTCGAGATACTGTCGGTCTTTTCATGCGCTCAAATAACCCAGCCTCTCGCGGAGCGCGCAGCAAACGGAAAGAGGTCTCGAGGTTGTAGTTCTGTTCCAGATCCAAGTTCCAAATCACTCAAATGCCAGGTGGTTAATTAATCCCGTGCACTTCTGTAGTTATACTGCACCGCACGCGCGAGTTGGGCTTGGCCTATCGCCCCTGTCCTCGGCGCCTTTATGGCCCAAGCGAGTATGCAACCCGCCTGCACGTAGAAATGAGGTACAGCATAACTACAGAAGTGCACGAGGTCAATCAGCTGCCTGTCACTATGCCCAGTGGACATAGATATGATTTTGTTGGGAAATATGTACGGTCCTCTTTTTTTCCAGTCGTTGAATGGGGAAAATTCGCCTATAATGAAAGTGTTTGGGGGTTGGGCGGGGGAGAGAGAACGGCCGGAAATGAAGGGGATTCGGACGGATGAGGGTGTTCGGGAAAGGGGAGGGGGAGAAGCAAGGGGCTTCGACGACAACAACAGGTCAGTCGCCTGGGGGCGGCCGCGATTTTATTGTCCGCATCGGTCGGGGGTTTGCGTCCCGCTGTCCTGCACAGCTGTCCTGTCCCACTCGACTCTTCCTCTTCCAGCGCGGAGCCCACCACGTGCCGCACGCGTTCGACCCTCGGCGTTCTGCGGCGCGCATGTCTCGAGCGCCTTCTCCAGACACCTGATACCCAACGCCGCCGCCGCCGCCGCCGCCGCCCGCGGTACCGAAATAGCTGTGCGCCGCGCCCCCGCCCCGCCCCGCGCACCCCGCCCG